AGTGCACAGAGTCTGTGCCTATACAACAAGCACTGTTATATTTAGTTAGTTTTCATGTTTCATTCAACTAGCCTCCAAGTTTCTAGTCTGTCAGACATAGGACTGCCTATGCACATGCTGGTTTATGATTTAATTGAGTCTGCTCTGACATGTTCCAATTAGAACACTCTAGCATGGCCTCGCATGGGTGAAAAAAAATGGCTGCTGCGGCAGTATCTAAACCTCATTCAATGAGGTTTAGATATAGCATCCTGCAGCCATTTTTAAACCCACAGGGGATCAATACACTAGGTGGGGAGGCATAATTAGAACAGTTCTTCCAGGAATCACTAATTAATGCCCCCCCACCCCACACACACTCACACTGCTGACCCCATGTACAGGTAGCCTAGATGACCCTTTCACTGCCCTCTATCCCCCCCCCCAACATTTTGGCTTATAGGGAATCTTTGGGAGAGATTAATAGAAACTAGAGGGTCCAAGGGGAGGGTAAAATATTAGGAACAGACAAACAGATCCACTCCCATCTTCTCTTGCAGCCTTCAGGAGCTGTGCATGGACACACTGGGAGCAGGGATATTCATACACCTGAGTGATAGTGAAGGAGTACCAAGTAGAGAGCAGACCACAGGCTTCTGTGCCAACCAGCACCCATTTGTTAAGAAAATACAAGCATAATCCAAATCTGGTTGGAAACAGGACTCTGTGGTCACTCCATGCATTTTTGATGCTCAGTAACAGGTCATGAGATTTGCAAACAAGTAAAAGCCACCTTTAAGACACTGTTAGCTAGGAATACTTATTTACAGAAGTTTTGCTACACAACTTTAGGATCCTTATCCACATTAGAAAAGAAAGTCCATATGCTCCAACAGTTGTTACTAGTCAAGTTTTATCCCAATGCAGGCAGGACCTCAGATATCATAATTTAGTTTCCCTACAAAAGTCAAGGCTGGTATGGTACTGCATACGTACTTTCAGGTCTGCATTTCCAATGCTTTCCTATTTGATGAACATTGTTTAAACAGGAACATTCTTTGAGCACTGAAACATATTGCAACATCAAAGCCTCTCCAGTCTTTATTCTGTTATCCAACCAAGTAAGAGCTCTGTTGGCTGGGTCATTTTATATGCACTCATTAAACTTTTTGCTAAAGAAGCAGTCTAAGTGATATACCACAGAAAGAAGGAAAAAGAAAAAAGAACACAGGCTATTAGCTCTATCATAGCAGAAGAATTTCAAAGGTTTGAGTGAAAGATGAACAAAGAATCTTATTCAAAGGGCACAGAGAAATGATCACATTAAAGCAAGTTAGGAAGGGGTAGGTTTACCATGGAACAGCTGACATGCAGTAACAGTTCATGTGGTGAAAACTGGTGCAAGTGTGGGGCATGAACAGTTACCATGTAACAGCTATTCTATTAGTAAAGCCTCAGCCCATTGGTCACATGCTTCCGTTTGACTGACTAGTTCCTCAGAGAGTAGATAATCTCTCCACTTTTTTTGTCCACACTTTACAAGTGAAGAGCCCATAATACTTGAATTTTATTTGAACTGTGTTTGTTCCTCACATTATTTATGAGCAGGCATTCTTGCACTTATGATCCATAAAATATCCAAGTAATGGGAAGAATTAAAATAAAATAATAAGCATTAAAAGAATCAAAACAAAGACAAAAAAAAGCCTCTTGACCACTTCAGCATAAATCCTAGGAGAATTCCGTTTCCAGACCAAGAAATTGAGGTTTCCAAATTAAAATATTTTGCAGAATTCCACAGTGCAGTTTGGTTCACAGCCCCTCTCAAAACTAAGACTTAAACTTTCAAAAACTGAGGAAAGTGCATTGTTTCTCTCTAAATAAAATAGAGGACAGTGTGGAATCTTCCCCACACTCCTTTTCCAATAACTAAGGTTAGAAGATGCACATCTTGCAATACCCTTCTCTGAGGACAGTTGAACCCACACCTCTCCAGGAGCGATCTAATCCCCAGGGTAAGGATACAGACACACCTCAAGTTGAGGCTGTTCCATGTTGCACTGAATAATTAAATATTCCCTGGGTCAGAGAGAGAAAGCATGCATGTAACTACAGCCAATTCATTACGCTATTTATCTAGATGAGAGGATATTTAGGCCCTCCTTCAAGAAATATTAGAATCTCTTCAATGCAGAACACCCTACAGTCTGGTTGCTAGGTTAGTCTCCTGGGAGGCAGGGTACACAGGTTCAAATCTTCTCAAGTGAGAGAACGAATTTAATCTGGTCATTCATATCTTGAGCAATTAATTTAACCCCAACCTACTGGGATAAGGGACACTCCCCCCCACCTCAGGTTAAGCATAACCTGGAAACACCTACTAGGCTCAGTTTAACAGATCAAGGCCCACAGGAAGAGACAAGGAAACACCCATTTGTTAGTTGTAAGAGGCTTGAGCATGATTCAGACACAGAAATGTCTACTGACAAGACTGAAGTTGCTTCAGCACATGCAACCCCCCCTCCACCCTCACCCCCAAAGCCTTAAGTTTTAAGCATTTGGTACCTCCAACATGAAGCAGCATAACAAGGACCTGAAGACATAAGCCCTAAGCAACCCAAGCCTCTGGTAGATCTAGCCCCAATAAACTAGTTAGAACTTTGTTGCCTTAAGTGGCCAAGCCAATGCCACATTCTTGAGAACACACTTTCCTGCAGGTTTCATGAAGACCAAACACCCTCTTTCCAAGCCCTAGTAATGTGAAGAATTTAGACTTCATCTCACCTTAAAATTAATACAATGCATAAAGATACAAGCAATCCCAAGCAAAAGCTTTAAGTAGTACCAAACCAGTTTGCATTCTGACCTGAACTGTTTGTATAGGTTTCCTCACAGTGAAAGTGGCTTTTTAGTAGTAAAGAAGCCAAGATAATGCAGCAATACCACATTGGGTCACTTCCTAGTTACAAATAAGACTTTTCTGATATAGGAGATCAACAATTACCTCTAACTGGGAATACAACTAGGAAGAAAGACTGCTACATGAAAACCCCACTACCTGTTAACAGTCCATCACCCCCTGAAAAACACTTCTCTCAAACTAAATTAGCCCATCACTTCTGCCCCCTCAAAACCCCCCCAATAATTCTTGCACTTCAAGGGTCTTCATATTAGCAAGTCCCTCATCTTTGCTTTGTTACTTTATTTGTCAATTTTCTGACATTGGAAACCCCCTTGGTCCCTTAGAACTAGTTAAGTTCCACTGCTAAGGGGCCCCACAAAACATTCCATCTTAAATCCTGCTGTATATTAAAACACCCTAAGCAAGTTAAACTCATTTCAGCAGTGAAATTACTGAAATGTATTTATTGAAGGGTACGGAAAGTTTCAGAAACTTTCCCAAATTAATGGTGCCAAGTAGCTCTTTTCATTGCCTCTAGTATTTATGAGTACTCATAACAATCAAAAAAAGTTAACAATCCAGAATATGAGACCAGAGCAATAGCAACTGTGAAGGCATCCTGATATTCTGCTAGTCCAACTTCATGAGAAAGAAATTTAGGTCAATGGTTTCACAGAAACCATACCAGCAACTTTGGTATACTCTCTCCTAAGGGTATGTAAAGTCTTGTTAGCTTCAGAGAAAAGTCATTCTAGCTTTCAAGAAGCTTTATTTTAGATGTAGGGTCAGATTTTCAAGTTAATGTCCCACAATTCACACTTCTCCCCACAAGATCACCAGCATGCTTCTAGTTAATCACAAGTAGCAAGGAGCTCAAAAGTCAGTTGCATAGGGCAGCAGCCACTAGCTGCAGAAGGACAAGCTAGGTAAAGGCATTCATTTCTTGATTTTTCATCTCTATTAGAGAAACAAATATCAATACATTAAATCCACAATTTAAAAAAAATTATCTTTGCATGCTGCAGTTGTGCTAATGACAAGAAAGTAAAACTAGCTTCACTACATACAGCAGGGTGAAATGCAAGTGAACAGCCATCATCAATGATTAAAGGAAGGTAGTCAAATTCACCAAAGCACCACCATGCTAACAACTACCTTATCTGTAGGCAACTCTGAAAGCCAACTCTTAAAATTCTCTTCATTAGTACACTTAAATGGACACAGCAAACAGGAAGGATCCTCTCAAACGAGAGGGGGAGGGCCCACACTGCTTTGACTGTTGCCAGGAGACCAGCCCTGCCAGAGGCCCCAGCCAGCTCCCCTCCCAGAGCAGGGCAGAGGAGGACTCCACGTCCAGCTGAATTGCACCAACTTCATGTTTTGGGGGGTTTTTTGCTCTTGCTCTGAAGTGAAAACCCAGCATTTCCCATTCAGAAGCGCTTCCTCCTCCGGGGTCGGCTGCTCCGCAGGTGCCTTTCCCTACAGCAGCCGCACGATTGCCAAACCGACCAAGGCCGAGTGTTTTGCAAGACCCATGTGACACACACATGACTTGCAGCTAGAAGAAAGGGTGGCCCCGTGAACGTCCCAAGCCGCCTCCAACAAGGAGGCAGGGAGACCCAGTCCCGCCCGCGGAGCCGGCTGCCTCCGAGGCCTCATACATTTATTCTCCAATCCCTGCCCCCCTCCCCCGGCCAAGGGCAGAAGAACCCGGCAGCCTCCCCCTTCCGGCCCGGGAAGATAGACATCATTAACTTTTCATACGCCGCCGGGAACCCGACCCGGGGCGGCCGCTGGGCCTGTACGCCCAGCCCCGGCCTCCCCCTACGCCCCGGGGCGCCGCGCCACCCGGCCCGGCCCAGCC